TGTGGGGGGGGGGGGGGGGGTCTTAGGGATTCTTTGGTTGGGCTCTATGGCAGTTTCCTGACTGGGGTCTTGCTTACTTGATTGTTGGTGTAAAGTTGACCTTGGAGTTAATCTATGCCAGTGATGGCGAACCTTTTAGAGACCGAGTGCCCAAACTGCAACCCAAAACCCGTTTATGCATCGTTGGGTGCCGGGTGGGTGTGGCCCATTGGCTGGGTGTGGCCCATTGGGGGGGGTGGCCCATTGGGTGGGCGAGGCTGCGGTGGTAACGGCAGACTGGGTGGGACTAAAAAGTTCAGTCAATCAATTCCAACTTTGCAAGATCTTTTTTTTCCCCGCGAGAAGTTGAAATTGACTGATTGATTGAACCTCTTTTTTTTGCACACGGCGGCGGAGGCCTAAAGCGAAAAGGTTTTATAAAACCCAGTTGAAGGCCTAGGACTGGGGCGACGGCGCGCGTGCCCACAGAGAGGGTTCTGAGTGCCACCTCTGGCACCCGTGCCATAGGTTCGCCACCACTGATCTATGCTGATCTCTGAATACTGGTGGAGAGGTGCTAGGGTTTTTTTTCTCCTTTGGGCTGGCTGTTGGTCTCTTTGGCATCGTCCACAGATGTTGTTAATGTCCGTGTGTCTATCGATGGCTGAGGGCCAGGCTTCTAGAAATTCACTGGCATTTTTGGATTTAGCCTGGTCTAGGATGGTCACATTTTCCCAATTGTGACTAAGTGGATTCAGAATCTTTGGAGGGCAGCCAAAGTGGAGGAGACAACCCCAGAGATGCTTGGACTCCAGCCCTGCCCCCCATCTCTCCCCATTGGCCTGATCCCAGGTCATCATCTAGGGCCACATGTTTGCCCATCCCAGCTTGGAAGGCAGGTTGTACAGGTGTGCGTGTGTGTCCTGCACCCTTTTGTATTTCCCGTGGGAGGAAGCACCTTTGATTTGGGGGAGGCTGACTGGGGGCCCCTGAAGGCTGCTCACCTGAGGCCTCAATGCATTTCACGAACGTCTCCATGTGCCGGTCGCATTTGGCTTCATCGGCGTAGAAGTAGGTTCGGGCGCCAGTGACGCCATCCCGCCGATCCCCAAACTTGTGATGGACGCTGTAGCGCTTCTCTCTCTGCTCTGGGAAGGACAGCAAATAGGGAGGGACCCGCCCCCCTTAGCCCCAGAACCGCCAGCCTCTTTAGACCCTGAGCCCATCAAGCCCCCCCTCCTCTGAAAGCAATTGCTTCAAATTCTGGGCTTGACCAAGAATCCTGGCTGTCCATCCTTGCTGGTTATCATGGTTTAACTTGCTTGACTTGGGGGGGGGGAAGATGTCTCCCACATGGGCTAAATCTGTTTACATTCATGATGGGAGGCAAAGTCAGCCAAGACAAGAGAGCAAAAATGGTGACCAAGCCTGGACCAGAAGCATCCATAAGATCCCGTGGTGGCGCAGTGGTTAGAATGCAGCACTGCAGGCTAATTCTGCCCACTGCCAGCAGTTCGATCCTGACCGGCTCAAGGGCTGACTCAGCCTCCCATCCTTCCGAGGTTGGTCAAACGAGGGCCCAGATTGTTGAGGGCAAATAGGCTGACTCTGTAAAACCGCTGAGAGAGGGCTGTAAAGCGGTATATAAGTCTAAAGTGCTATTGGTCTTTGGGACCTCCAGAGCCCCTCGCAAGGAATCGGGCGATTCCTTGGCCCTCCGGCTGTTTTTCTCTCAGCACATTTGGAGAGCTAAGGAACAAATAGGGCATTTAGAATTCCTACCTCCTCTCCCCTCCCAGAAAAGAGCCGGGGCCCCACCACTTTGGGTATGCGCCCCTTGACGTGCCGTGAAAAGACTCAAAGGGGCCTCTGGCCCTACAGCTTCTTCTGGGGCTCCCCGGGGGGCTCCTTGGTCAGCAGCCTTGTGTCAAACGCAACCAGAGAGAAAATGTTGCATCTTGCAAAGCCCCTCTTGGCTGCAGGGGGAAAAAGCAACAAGGCCGAAGTCTTTGCTAGCCCCCTCCCCCCCAGGGCAGGCTGGAGACCCCAAACAAACAGGCCACAGCGTTCCGCAGCAACGTTACTTACTGCCTGTCTCCTTCTCAAAGGCAGAGACGCAGGAGCTGGGAAGGAATGAAGGAAGAAAACTTTACTTTCTGCCATGGGGTCTTCCAAGCTACGCAGCCCAAGCCACTCACTCTGCAAACACTGAACACAGCCCAGCCAAGGGGGGGCACAGCTGTCCACAGCAGCCCAGAGGCAACCTCAAGAGTTAGGATTAGGGTCCTCCAGCCTAAATTACATGCACATTTGGCAATATCAGAATCTGTGGGCCTTGCAGCCAAATCTCCAGGGCCGTGGCTCAACAAGGAAAGGGTTAGAGTAGGGGTCCCCAACCCCCGGTCCGTGGACCAGTACTGAGCTGTGGCATGCCAGCAACTGGTCTGCCCAAACAAGCAAAGGTCCATCCACAGGATGCAGGAAGCACACAAAACCACACATTCTTTGGTCCGTGGGAAAACCTCTCTCCACGGAACCGGTCCCTGGTGCCCAAAATCTTGGGGGGCCTCTGGGTTAAAAGTGTAGGTTGCTTTCTACAAATAGTCCTTGACTTACGACAGTCATCTAAGCAAGGTTTGAAGTTGTGATGGACTCCCTGGGAGTACAATTAGTTCTTGACTTACAATAAGTTGTAAAGGGAATGAAAAAAGGGACGTATGACCATTTTTCACACTTAGGACCGTTGCAGCATCCCCATGGTCAGGGGTAGGCAACCTTGGCTCTTGTATGACTCGTGGACTTCAACTCCCAGAATTCCTGAGCCAGCCTGGCTCAGCTTGGAAACCTCTCGCTTTCCCCTCAGCATGGCTGGCTCAGGAATTCTGGGAGTTGAAGTCCACGAGTCATACAAGAGCCAAGGTTGCCTACCTCTGGCCTAGGCCGCTTTATGACTTGTGGACTTCAACTCCCAGAATTCCTGAGCCAGCATGGCTCAGCTTGGAAACCTCTCCCTTTCCCCTCAGCATGGCTGGCTCAGGAATTCTGGGAGTTGAAGTCCACGAGTCATACAAGAGCCAAGGTTGCCTACCTCTGGCCTAGGCTGCTTTATGACTTGTGGACTTCAACTCCCAGAATTCCTGAGCCAGCCTGGCTCAGCTTGGAAACCTCTCGCTTTCCCCTCAGCATGGCTGGCTCAGGAATTCTGGGAGTTGAAGTCCACGAGTCATACAAGAGCCAAGGTTGCCTACCCCTGACCATGGTCATTTACATTTGGATGCTTGGCAACTGGTTCATACTTATGACGGTTGGCGCATCTTGGGGTGATGTGATCGCCTTTTGAGACCTTCTGACAGCCAAAGTCAAGGGGGAAGCCAGATTCACTTAACGACCGTTACTAATTTAACAACTGCAGTGATTCACTTAACGACTGTCGCAGGAAATGTCGTGAAATGGAGCAAAGCTCACTTAATAAATGTCTCACCTACGGCAGCAGCAGAAATTCTGGGCTCAATTTTGGTCCTAAGTTGAGGACCGCCTTTACTTACGACCTGGTTCTGAAGATATACCGGGCACTCCTACTCCCTGTGGTCACCTGACCGCATTTGAGGTGCTTGGCAACTGTTTTATATTTACAGCCCTTTGCAGGTTCCCCATGGACATGTTTTATGCTTTTGCCCCAAACCGGCTCATGGTGAATCATTACGAGAACCATGAAGAGAAGGCTGCAAAAAGAGGTCAATAACATCGGTCAGTCACGGGGATGACCTGTTTTACAACCATTACGGCTTACAGCCCTAATGGGCAGGCTCCATTAAGGTCGTCAGTAGAGAAAAATCTGTAATTTTACTCTTTTGCCACACTTCTAGTCCAGCCCCTTGCTCAAGCAGGAGAACCTACACCATCTCAGACAAGTGACTGTCCAGTCTCTTCTTAAAAATCTTCAATGATGGAGCACCCACAATTTCTGGTGGCAAGCTGTTCCACTGGTTCATTGTCCTCCCTGTCAGGAAGTTTCTCCTTAATTCCAGGTTGCTTCTCTCTTTGGTCAGTTTCCAACCATTGTTTCTTGTCCTGCCCTCTGGTGCTTTGGAGAATAACATGACCCCCTCTTCTTTGTGGCAGCCCCTCAAATACTGGAACACTATCATGTCTCCCCTGTTTCTTCTTTTCTCTAGACTAGCCAAACCCAAATCCTGCAGCCTTTCTTTGTATGTTTTAGTCTCCAGGCCTTTAATCATCTTAGTCGTCTTCTCTAATGAATGGTAGTGGGCTATGGCCCGGCGGTTGGGTAGGGGACTTTAAAGACCGTTTAGGTTTTCTGGGTTTTATCCAGGATTCTGAGATTTACCCAGATGGCAGTCTTCATGTTGGAATGCAGAAAGCAGAGAGGAATGCATGGGATGGGGAGGGGGCACGAGGAGAGGGCAGCTGCTGCTGCCACAGCAGCAGACAGAGACCCTCCCCAAGTGAAGCCTATTAGACCAGGGAGCTTTTGGGGGGAACTTGCAATCCGAGGAGTCTGCAGAAATCTGGGCGGTTCATTCCCCTAACCAGAAGTCTTCTGACCCAGAGGGGCTGCTGGAATTTGTAATGCTTTGCCAAAGCTGATTAAGGGGGTGGGTAGGGGAGAGCAAGGAAATTGACTGTCTCTCCTTCAGATCCACTTCCAAGGGGAGATGAATGATGGAGTGTCTGTGTTGCAATCACCTCCCCACCCGCCCCCAACTCTACTCTACAATGTTTTCAGTGAGGTCCAAGAAAGGGATCCTGACTGGCAGGGTAGTTTCATAATAAAGGTCTTGCTGGATTTTGAGTAACTAGCAGCGTTCCAGTATTTGAGGGGCTGCAACTTATTTTCCAAAGTACCAGAAACAGTATTTGGAAACTAATCAAGGAGAGAAGCAACCTGGAATTAAGGAGAAACTTCCTAACAGCGAGGACAATTAACCAGTGGAACGGCTTGTCACCAGAAGTTGTGGGCGCTTCATCATTGGAGGTTTTTTAAGAAAAGGAATAGTATAGGGTCTCCTGCTTGAGCAAGGGGTTGGACTAGAAGACCTCCAATGTCCCTTCCAGATCCTATTCTATTCTATTCTATTCTATCCTTATCCTATTCTATTCCATTCCATATAAAGATTCTATTCTATTCTATTCTATTCTATTCTATTCTATTCTATTCTAAATGACTGCAGGAATTGGGTATGGCCAGTCTAGAGAAAAGAAGGACTAAGGGGGACATGATAGCAGTATTCCAGTGTTTGAGGGGCTGCCACAAAGAAGAGGAGGTCAACTTATTTTACAAACCACCAGAAAGCAGGACAAGAAACAATATTTTGAAACTAATCAAGGAGGGAAGCAATCTGGAATTAAAGAGAAACTTCCTAACAGCGAGGACAATTAACCAGTGGAACAACCTGCCTCCAGAAGTTGTGGGCGCTCCATCACTGGAGGTTTTTAAGGAAAGACTGGACAGACACTAGTCTGAACTGGTATGGGGTCTCCTGCTTGAGCAGGGGGCTGGACTAGAAGACCTCCTCTATTCTGTCTCACTGATTCCTGAGCTGTGGATGGAACTCTTCCTGCACTCCTGAAGGTTGGGCCAGGTTAGGACAGCTGAGTACTGAACTGACCCCACATCTGGAGTATCACCCTTCACGTGGGAGCCTGGATTGACTGGGAACTACAGGTTTTATGGTGGAAATAGCTATTTTGCGCATGAACGTCCTTCTCCCAATTTCCTGTTGTTGTTGTTTTTAAAATGACACCTTGTTCAATGAATTCTCAGAATCGAAAGGTTCGCACGTCATTTTCAGCCCAAAGAAGAGGGTGCCAAGCTCTTCTCCAAAGCGCCTGAAGGCAGGACAAGAAGCAACAACGGATGGAAACTCATCAAGGAGAGAAGCAACCTGGAACTAAGGAGAATCTTCCTGACAGTGAGAACAATTAACCAGTGGAACAACCTGCCTCCAGAAGCGGTGAATGCACCAACACTGGAAGTTTTTAAGAAGAGACTGGACAGCCATTTGTCCGAAATGGTATAGGGTTTCCTGCCTGAGCAGGGGGTTGGACTAGAAGACCTCCAAGGTCCCTTCCAACTGTGTTATTCTATTCTATTCCATTCTTTTTTCTATTCTATTCTATTCTATTCTATTCTATTCTATTCTATTCTATTCTATTCCATTCCATTCCATTCCATTCTATTCTATTTCCATTCCATTCCATTCCATTCCATTCTATTCTATTCTAGCAAGGAGAGAAGCAACCTAGAACTAAGGAGAAACCTCCTGACAGTGAGAACAATTAACCAGTGGAACAACCTGCCTCCAGAAGCGGTGAATGCTCCAACACTGGAAGTTTTTAAGAAGAGACTGGACAGCCATTTGTCCGAAATGGTATAGGGTTTCTTGCTTGAGCAGGGGGTTGGACTAGATGACCTCCAAGGTCCCTTCCAACATTATTAATATTCTTGATCTTGTTATTATTGTTATTATTGTTATTATTATTATTGATGTTTTTTGTTGTTTTGTTGTTGTTGTTGTTGTTGTTGTTGTTGTTATTATTATTATTATTATTATTATTATTATTATTATTATTATTATTATTATTATTATTATTATTAAAGACGCCATACAGCTACGTCTTGGACATTTTTCCCAGGGTCTAATCCAGCTCTGCCTATTTTTCAAGGTAACTGCAGGTTGTGCCTGTGTTTCCCAGCAACTTGGCAACCAATTTTGGTTGAAGTTCCAGCCCAGAAGTGACTAAGTGCCCGATGGCCCTTGACAGGAGTGGCCCGTGCCAGGGAGTGCCAGTGTTTACTCTGGGGCAGGAAAAACTGCCTGGAAAAGTGGCAGAGAAGGCTCCGATTTAGGCGATCCAGAACTTAAGAGCTAACAGGCAAACTTGCCAGGAGGTTTAGTGAGCTAAACAAATAACAAAAAACAGAACCGATGGCTTTATACCTATTCATTCCAAAGACAAAACTCCCTCAAAGTTGGCAAGATGGAAGAAACGGTCTTTGTAAAGCACCCCTTTGTAAACACCCCCCCCAGGGGAAAAAACTTCCTGTTCCAGAAACTCCCCTTAATTCACCCTATCTCCAGCTCAAACAAGGTTGAGGGGT